ATATATACACATATTCAGATTTACATGTATGTCTGAAGATAAAGTACGCTATAATACATGAATAAAGATTTCCAGAGTAGACAGTGGCTTCACTCCCATCAACCTAGTGTTTACACCATTAATCCAAGAGGGGGCAGTGCTTCACCAGCAATCGAACTTCACAGGCCTGAAGGTCTGCTGGGGTTAGATTCAAAGCACCATTATTGTTATCACAAAAGATAACATTGGTTCTGAAATGTTCTGATGGTAGACTCAGCTTGCCAGGTGTACCAGGCAGAGGACAATTAAACATTAAGTGTTCTATTAATAAAATTGCACACGAGTCTCAAATTGATTCTTCAGACAAATAAAGAAAAATGCAGTTTTAACACTATCTGAAGATTCTTCAACTACCACATTTATATTAGGATATCAGTATAATTGCTTTCAACAAATGAGACACTTCCTGAGGAAACTGGATGAATGAACACAAGAGAAACATCAAAAAGATCCTCTTCATTACAGGCATCATGGGAAATGTATCTTGAGAATAAATAAAACTGCCATTGGCCTGATTTGTAGCAATTACACAGTAATTATATAACAATGTGCAACAATGACATGTGGACATGTGGTTAAAATGTTGCTCATAACATCCCAGTAAGCACTGATTGGGTGATTGGATTTTCAGGTCAAAAGACATCAGAAAAACATAATAAAACGTATTCTATCTTTACACATAACCACTGGTTTAACAGCATTTCAGTGGCTATAATGTGAAGCACATCCTTACTACATGATATACAGTCATTAAATACTTCTGGAACAATAGTTCTATATAACCAGAACACTAAAAAATATATATATTTTAACAAACTTTTGCCCCATTTTGGCAATTAGTAAATCAGTGCTTACAAGGATAATTAACACATTACATATAAAGTAATACATGAGGTAGTTCAGATATACACATATCTCTAGCTCTTTCCTGTCCTTAACTTCTCAGAATCATCTTCATCCTCCGTCCTTCTGGAATGTTCTCTCTACAAAGCCCAACCGTTCAAGGCCACCATTCTGGCTCAACTTCTCCCTTCATACATATATGTATTCTCGGATAAATAATGCTGTTCCCCTTTCCTGTCCAGTTTGTCCTGCTCTTTTCTTTTACCTTGCCAGCTGTCGTTGCAGACACACAGCTTTTCTCCAGTCAGGTCACAGTAGCCGTGATCCGGGCTGCCACAGTTATCCCTGCAGTACGGGATGTTGCAGGCTTCTCCTTTCCAGTACTCCTCACACTCGCAGTACACACGACCCGAGACAGAGTTGGCAGTGCTGCATCTGCCGTGGCCCGAACAGTTGTTGGGACAAGAGTTTATCCTGAGGGAGACACAGTTAGGCAGGACGTCAAGGAACTTCTTCAAGGTTATACAGCACCATAGGCACAGAGAGAATACTTGATTGTGACTTGTCACACATGACTTTAAATAACCCCCACAGCTTTGAGATACTGTGGATGCCTCGTGAAAAAGTAGTTCAGGCAACCAATTTCTCTTGTTTATAGTAGCATTTTAGTGAATTCATTTGAATACTAAGTGACTATAGTTAATATGAAAGGAGTCGTAGACCTGAACCCAAACATTATCACACACTCTGCAGCTCGAAGGAGTGTATTAGCCTCTTTTAGCGGATCGTTTTGGTTTTAGAGCACATTATTTTCAGTCTCAGCAGCACTCTCATCAACCACATTTCCAGACACAGCAGGTAGCTGCTTCCAGCAAACAAGCTCTAATACACTCACTGCACACTACCTGCCCAGCATCATGAGGCAGAGACACACAATCACACACACACACACACACACACACACACACACACTATTAGACTGTTGAAAATGGAACATCTAGCAGCATTATGTAAAGGGTAAATTAGCTTTCACAATACCCGTTGTAGAATTTTCCTTATTCAATCAATAAACTGTAGTGAAGACTGAATCGCAGAACAAGAAGAGCACAAAAAGTTGCTGTACTGTAGCACTGAACATAAGTTACCTCTTGTTCCTTCTGAGTTTGAATGCACTCAGTGTAAGTGGCTTTGGACAAAGGCGTGTGCCAATTGAGTGTGACGTAACAAGGAACCATGGGACATAGGGGAGAGACTGAACGCGACAGATATAGATTAAAAGAGGGAAATTTGAGATGCAGCGAGAAGGACAAAGAAAAAGACACAAAGAAGACTGAAAATGAGAGCCCGTTAGATATGAATGAAAGGAGCCTAAAGAGTGAACTGATACACTGAAAACCAGACTTTGATTAAAAAGCATTGATATAGCGATACTGCAAACACTACCCCCTGTCACATAAATACACATGCTGAAAGAGATGGAATGATGGGGGGGAAGGAGAGGCTGAAAATCATCTTTCTGATAATACAAAAAGCTGGCTTGCTGTTGTGACAAGAGGGTCGTCATGACAACCTTTATATCCCCCTGTGTGTGTGGGTGTGTGTGTGTGTGTGTCGAGAGCCTAGAGCCTGTGTGACTGTACAGTAACTGTCCTCACTCCACCCATGTGTTCAACCTACCACATATTGTTTCATTTTCCATCAGGGCCATCACTACTGGCACCAAGCAGCCATGTTTGTGGCTGTGAGTAAGAGGCGGTGACATGGTCCACACAGCATTGTGAACCTGTGTTTGTGCTGTACAGCGGTGGAAAGAAAGGATAAGGGCCCCTGAAACGGTTCCAAACCCCTGGTTAAGATTCAAATTGTTTTGTTATGTGACTCAGATGACACTCAGAGGATAACTAGGTACATGTCACTATGTAATTCAAACCAACGTTCAAACATTAAAAGACTTATTATTCAGCATGTAGAGCAGCCTATGTGACATTGACAGCTGTTGCACCACTTCTCAGACAACCAAGACTGCACTAACCAGAAGAAGAAAAAAACACATTGGTGGGTTTGTCCACACAGCTTGAAACAACTAAATGTGTATTACAGGTTTTAACATGTGTTCTTCATAAAATGTGTGCCACACATGAATCAATTGTACAGATGTTAGATAGTTAACTTAGCTCTAAGTTAGCGCTTAGCTAGCTACAAACTATAGGCTTGTGCCTCTGAGTGTATTTGACAGCTCAGACGAACTAAGCTCAAAACGCACCAAGAAATGTTATTTTGAAGTGTTATTTTTGTGATTTTCTTCCAAACCCATTTCCTATTTCACTCTTTGTGTTTTGTTTTAAAGTTGAAGCTGGAATTAGGAATTACGGGACTTAACGTTACTTAGCGTTTCCAGTGAGCTAGCATGGACAACAGCAGCACCTGCGACCTGCGGGGCTTTAATTAGCATCATTGGTAACACCTGTGTTGAACGTCAAAATGGCTGCTGTGAAAAAAAATCTATTGATGGGTTTTACGTCAACCAATGCCAGCGTTTGAACCAAAAAGGGCCACATTTACTCACATGCGAAAGAGTCCAGAGAGAGACGGTTGATTAGCTGGCCAACCCCTGACAACAAGCCAAAAAGTCCGTAATCCATAGTTCACTCACGGATCGGAATATTCTCCAGCTCCATCCTCTAATGTTTACTCCGTGGAGCCACCATCAAGCCGCCCAGCTCCCACGATGACCATTCCCTGAAGCTGACAGCTGCACAGTGCACACTGGCCAGACTACGGGAAGTCTGGGAGAATCACTAAGCCTGTCTATTAGACGCAAGAGGTCTCACTTGGATTTAATTTCTTTGGCCAACGATGTATGTTTCAAACTTTGCTTCCTTGGATCCCAAAGAGGAAGAGGTTTTTGGTTGAAGGAGTATTTCACTGTTAGTTGAAATGTGGGTTTTGTATTGAGCACTGACTGTATAATACACTGTGAAATGGTTGTGTTTGTTGTGTAATTAGTGTCACTGCCAGAGGGGGGAGACAAAAGTTCTCTTCAGTTTTAAGAAATATACTGGCCTCCCTTGATGCTACTAATGAGGCATTTTTGGCTAAAGTCATATGAAAGGTTAATTTTCGAATATAAACTACCAATTTTGCTCATTGACAGTATATATATATTGGACAAAGCTTCTGGGTCTGAAGCCGAAGTGTCTGTACTGTACTGTACTCTATAAAATATGATTAAAGATTCTGTTACTGCGTTGCCTATTTCTTGCCTAAATTCTTTTCACAAAATATTTCAGGACAAGTGGAAACTGCCAGTGAGCACAGCTCACAGTGCGTCACCGCCGCTGGCTCCAAAAAACTGTCACGCCGACGACCATAATGCCAAACTCAAGCCTTCAAAATGGGACTCCATGATAGTTCATGATTGGTTCACCCTTGATTTTGCTCTTGAGGTATAATGAATTCATCTGTTTTTGCTGCAACGTGATTATTTCAAGTAGAAGTTACAGCAAAAGGAACATTAACTGACCTGACAGTTGGACTTTTTTCAAAACGTTTTGACCTGTGACAGGAAAAGCACCGGTGCAACAAATTTCCTTAATGTTTGCTTAGTTTCAGTAAGTGACTCAAGTGACGCCAGAACCAGTATTTAGAATACCAAAGCCTAGAACTAGCTCACCTAAAATAAAATCAGTTAATGTTATTGTTCTGCTATAACATGAGCTAAAGTTCAGCTGATGTTAATGTGATGTTTCAGATTTGATTTAGTATTTTCAGCTTTAAGAAATATTGCCTCTTTTTAGTACAAAAATTCCTGTTTGCATTTTCAGGGTCAAAAGTCCGCAGAGGGGGAGGTACAATATGATCGTGGCTCACGGTAAACATAGACGAGGCCTCGACTCTCTAGTGAAGCACTGCTGCAGGCACAGCTGAGACGTGTGTGAGACGTGTGTTGCAGTGTTTCTGCTCTAATCTGTTAACATGGGCGCCAAAACAACTCTAAATGTTCCACAATGCACACGCAACACCACGGGTTAGCCTCTTTGAACCATTAACATTACAACACAGGTAAAACAACCTTTTTACAAATGGTCGTGAAATGTGCTTCTAGTGACTGTAAAAGCTCCAGCTCTTTTCAGCGCATACACTGAGTCTCACACCAGCTGTATGATTCTCTTTGCTGCATACATTTCCTTACGGGGGGGGGGGGATTTAGGGGTTTAGACTTAGACTTTAAAGGCGTTGTCTTGGAAGGTATTGTCTCAATTTCTAAAAAAACACTAAATGATCAGCTATGTGTATTTAGACCCTGGGACAGAAAGACAGACAAAAGAGGAGAGAAAGGGAAAAGAGACTAGAAAAAGAGTGAAGGAGGGTTGACGTCTGGACATACGAGTAGGCGATGTTGAAGCCGGTCAGGTTGTAGGCAGCATCGCTGAAGAAGTGAAGCAGAGCATAGCCGGACGTCGTTACGACCTCGGGGACAGTCTCATTACCCCTGCTCTCTGGTACTACTAGACCACTGAGAAAGAGAGAGAGAATGAGAATGAGACAGAGAAAGACGGACAGTCCCTCTCAACAAAAAAGTAATAATAATAAAAAGCATTTTGAAATGCTGCTGTATTTTATGGACTCGCACCACTGGAGAGCTGTAAGATAAAAAGGATTCCATTTGAGCAATTGCAGACCCCACTAAAATATGACTCGTGATTAGCTTTAAAGTAAAACAACATTGCAGTGCAGAGTCAAACCGCATTTAGTTTTTTATTGGTTTGATGAGGTTTTTCAGTGGGGGGCTGGTGGTTTCTTATTTGGTCTGGCTGTCTCTTTTAATAAATGCATTGCAAATGTACCCTCGCCCATAATGAATCCGAGTCAAAGCTTCCTCCCTGCTGCAACTATAGCCTTTTTTTTCTCAACACAAGTATGCACCAATTTATAATAAACAATGTAAGCCTTTTTATTGTAGATAATAATCATACACAAGTCTAGGGTTTCTATATTCAAATGCCAGATAATTTTTCCTTGATTGGAAGAGGCCAAATTAGCTCATTCATATCCTGGGAGCAACTGAACTCTCAACAGGAGATACGCCTCAATTGGAGCAGAGTAGAAAGTGGGAGGTTGGGAAATTATTGTGGTATTACTGTTTTTTAATGGATTTCTGTCAAACTAAAGAGTCCTACCCACATGCTTGTAAATTGCCTTATGGAGAAAAAAGAAAAATAAGCAAAAAGCTCCAGAAAAAGAAGTGGTATTCAGGGTTAATGTGAGTAGCAATATTTTCTTTCTGTTATCGCTGTATTGTGGTACGATTGTAATTATGAGGCCCATTGTTTGCCTACATGGAGTCATTTGACTGCATAAGAGCAAATTCATTGAAGCTTTTGAAGCTGTGCCAAAGGCTACCTAAGTCATTTCCATATTTCCCCCCTCTCACAGCTCTCCTATTCAGAATAGCAGAGGCTCACCTGAACACAGCAATCAAAGGGGCGTAAATGGAGTCTCCATCATAGACGTACATGTGGTCCCAGCTGCACTCTGTGGCAAAGTGATTGAAGCGCAGCCTGAGTACTGCATTAGGACTGGTAGACAGGGAGAGAGAGAAGATATGACAAAAATACATTGGATGAATATATTACCTATGCTTCATATGATTGTTTCTTTTGAAAGGTGTCTCCACAATGAATGAGACTATGAAAGTCTGTGGTTACCGTCACACATTGACTCACGCAGTGCCTGAGAAACCCTTTTGGCTATACTGAAGTAAATAGTTAAGTGTGACCTTTCTTAATAAAAGTCTCCTATATGCTGCAATTGGTGTGTGTTTACATGCAGTCATATGCACACATCCCAATTCGGATCAGGTTATTTACAGTATCCTGGTTTCAGAACTCTGAAATAAGCTCTTTTTTCTGTTGTGAGAAATCTGTATACTGTGGCAGGTTTCAGTTCACTGTATGCCATATGTGCATTCTCAACTCAAGTTATTTAAATAGTCAGTAAAATGTTCATTTATGTAATAAGGATTTAAACACGGAAATGAAAGGGAATAATCTGCTTTATCTATGTTCCATGTAAATGTTATATCCAAAATATGATAAAAACCAGGATACTAGTTTGCATGTAATTATAATCAGTGTTCACTACAATACACAGTGCCACAGTGTTTGATGAAACAAGTAACATACCAATAATTTTCCTATTCTTAGCTTCGCTTGTAGTGGGGCTAAAAGTGGCACCAGAGGAAACACTACAAGGATTTATCCCCCTTGGACACATGAACGTAGTCATTCAATTTTATTGCAATCGGCCCATTTGATTTTGAGGTTTTCTTGTGTGCAAATACAGATTTTGATGTGATAATGATGCTGAAGAAAAGCTCAGTGGATAGTGCAATGTTCATCCACTGGGGACTATGAATGTTCAAAAACAATTTTATGATCATCAATTCTGAACCAAAGTTTTGGACCACTGGTTATGTTTAACTTGAACATGAAAAATAAATCAACCATGGCTTTTTAAAAATCATCCTCTGGGGACCATGAATATCACTACCAAATGCAACAGCAATGTGGCAAGTGATTGTGTAAGAAATATCCAACTGATCTAAACGTCATCATCATCATAAGCAGCTGTAAACTCTAATAATGAAGAGGATCTGAGTGTATTTTGAATAAAATTAATTTAACACTATGTAACAATTGTTGTCTTTCCACGTAAAAACTGTAAAAATAGAACAGAAGAAACTCTTGAGAGAAAATTGAGAGATAAAAAACTCAAAGTAACTTAGGAGGATGATAAATTAGTACAAGTGGATCTAGTATTTGTTTACTTTTCAGTGCAATAGAGTAGATCTTTCAGGCAGTGGCAAAGATACAAAAGAGCATTCAGAAAAATGCATGTGTAAAAGTGGGTGGAGGGTGTATCCATTGTATACTACAACTGGAGATTCTGACCTGATGGTACAGTAGTGCAAAAAGTCATCATCCATCCCCACAGGGTTGTGTATGTCTGCACTGAATTTCTTGGCAATCCATCCATAGTTTAAGGCCTTTGAGGCGAATCTTTGGTTTAGAATTTTGGGCTATTTGAATCAAACTGACTTGACTTTGCTAAAAATATTCATAATAGTCTTTTCAATATTTTAATGAGCCCAAACATTCCTTCAATATTTCCAAAGGGGACAATGAACACCTTAAGCCTTTGCCAAAAGCCAATCTAACATTCCACAGGATAGATGGGTTATGAACAAAGTAACCCTAAACAGCCAATGTATTGTTTTTTTAATGTTGTCATTCTGTGAGGGTCTTTACAAATAATTACATAGCTATTACTCTATGCGTTCAGTTGGTGTAGCATGCATCTCTGAGCAGTTAATGGGAGCAAAAAGCATCTTTGGAGCACAATTACTACATTCAAAGACAAACTACTTCTATTCACACAGTAATAAAGCTCTCTTTATCTGGAGCCATTTAATCAGATACAAAAAAACAGTTTTAACCAAGTGGAACTAAGTAAGATAAATGATAGGAGGAGAAGAAAAACACTGATACTTACTATCCTTCAATTAGCCAAGTGCATTTGGTCTTGTACTTATAGTTTACTGGTCCATCTGTGAGAGAGCCCGACAGGTCTGTTAACCTGAAGGAAGAAATACAGAGGTTTAGTTTTTGATATTCAGGGATGGAGATAAAACTTGATAGGCTCAAATCATAAGCTAAACCAAAGCAAACCAAAAGGATAATCATCAAACTAAGAAGTTGCAGGCTCCAAAAACAGTAACAATTTAGAGCTGCTACTTAAAATGTGATCTTGTGACCCCCTTAAAACAAAGAGATCCATTCTGACATTCTGCTCTCTGTGCATGTATGATGCTCTCCTACAGTGCTAAATGCACGGAGAGCCGATGGGAGGCTATGAGAGCAGTCAACACTTTTGTATCATTTCAGACTATTAAATAAATATAAAAGCAGAGGTTTGTTCCATAATTTCCATCCCTAGAAAAAGCTGGAAAACCATTTCTTCCAACACAACTTAATCAAATGAAATTTAGGATGTGTGTGAATTTCTTCGATTGGCCACATGATAAAACATTTGAAAACTGAAACAGAATCAAGAAGACTTTGAATTAACTAAATCACACTGCTGCTAAAAAGCTGCTCAACCGTATGTCATTCATACTGGGCAGGTTCTAATGGTTTTCTGTTCCCTTAGCCATATTCAGTCATTCTGAAAACTCAAATACCGTATCAAATACTAATTGCCAGATTTCCTTTAAAGATGATGGATTATGCTAATTAGACTTCTACCTAGCATCTGCATGGAGGGTCATCAGAGGGAGTTGTGGCTCACCTGCTACACTATTCAAGTCTTTCTCTTTCCCCTGGCTTTCTGGCATATTTCCACTTACGAAACATTGCCAAGAATCCTCCCATATTATCCAAGGCTGATGCTGAAAGCCTTGTTCATGCTTTTGTCTCATCTAGGCTTGAACATTTTGACTCTACCCCTGCTTACATAAATCAACTATTAGCAAACTACAGCTTGTACAAAATGCTGATGCTAGGATATTAACCAAAACTACAACATTTGACCATATTGCCCTGCTCCTGTTCTTATTTCATTACATTTGCTCCCTGCGCAGGCTCAATATGACTTAAATATTTAACTGTTAACTTTACAATATAAAAAAGCTGATCCTCTGACTATTCCAGAAATAACTAAATCATCAGGAGGTGGCAGGGCCTCCTCCCTTTTCTTTGGAATCTTAATTCAAGAGGCTAGCTAAGTCGACTCTTTTTCGCATCACCCTTCAGGCTAACTTAACCTGCCCTGAATACTAACTACTGTCATCCAACACATAGTCAGTATATGTGTGTGTATGGTTACTTATATATAGATGAAATTGATCTTCTCCTCTAACTCTAGCATTCCCAAAATGCTAAGAAACTTTAACTTAATTATTATTATGTTGCCCTTCCTGATACTGAACTATTTTTACTTCCCCTTATTAAAATCCTAAGAAGTGTTACTACAGCATCAGCCGTCTGATTATCAGCTGATGGAGATCCAACATTACACCTGCTGCATCATGTGCATCCTGCACTCCATTTAAGTAGATCTTTCTGCCATTGCTCCTGTGTAACACACCCCTTACCAGCATGGCCAAATGGGGAACAGCCTCAGTCATGCATCACAGACACCACTGATGTAGTATACATCTATCCCTACATTATTCAGCTTTGGGTTAATGTAGGTTATTTTCTCTTTCAGTTTGATAAAAATAAACCTTTTCAGTTACAACTATGTGATCTCCTGCTTTGTTTCCTTCATGTTAGGTTGCAATACTTCTGAAACCAACTTTATACTGAATATCAGATGCAGAAATAAATGAATTAGGATTAAATTAGAAATATGCAAATAAATGTATATATGTTCTCAGTCAGCAAAGATAACAAGACACAGTCTCACTGAGCATTGAATGAAGGCACCACTGGTGGCAGAATAACAATATTCTTTTGAGCAGATAAAACATGACATCCCACTCATGTCAAGGTAAGACAGTGCATGTTACTGTTGCCATAGTGATCCCAACATGACATATTCCTGTGGCAATTGTAATAACCACAAAGTTGGTGTGAGTGTGTGAATGCCCGGTCACACCCGTCAATCAAAGTAATCTCATTCCGTTGCTGCATAGACGGAAAAGGTGAAAATGGAGACACACACACACACACACACACACACACAAATACACACAATGTCACACACAACACGTTGGCATCACAAACACTGAAGACATCGCAGCCTGCCTCTAGTTAGACAGTATGTCACTGTGTTTGTGTTTGTGTGTGTGTGTGTGTGTGTGTGTGTGCGCGTGCTCATTATCTAAGCCTGCAGTGTCACTGTAGGCTCCCTGGTAACATTGGCACACTGCCACACCGGGGAGCGAGAAAAATAGAGTGACATTTTTATTGTGTGTTCATGGCATGAAAAACAAAATTGTTTTCTTTATTTGATGAGCAATTCCAAAAGTCCAAACTACAATGTGCTTTACAGCGCTCAAGCAAGATAAAACTAGCTACAATAAAATTGTAATATAGTATACAATTTGATCAAATTTATAAACTTCTATCTATATGTATATATAAAACTCACAACTTGAGTACATTGCTACACCTAAACATGAGATACTCTACTTGCTGAAACATTAGCTCCATTTCCACCAAGCAGTCCGGTTTGGTTTAGTCTGTTACACACACAGTGGTTATTTTAAAATTTTAATCAATCTGGCAGAAAATGTACAGTGTAGGTGTGTCAGTTCATAAATGCTGCAGCTTTTCATGTACAAAAAAGTCTCTGTTGCTTCCCAACTGCTGAAAGTGAATGTGGTTAGTCCCGAAGCCCTGGTAACATCCCGCCTACATTTAAGAGTACTGCTTGCAGGAGAAACACAAAGAAGTTTGGGGTTTAGGTACAAGGGTACAAAAGTGGTGGATATGTGGCTATATATTGTAGGCTATAGTCACCAGTTCCTTTGCAACAGGATATTCAATGTAAAGATCCCTTCAGACATGTATAAAGACATAGATACAAGTAGTCTGCTATTTTTCTTTCCACAAAAAGTACAATTTCTACATTAAAATCCTTTAAACTACCTCATAAAAAAATCTAGAATCTATGGATAAGTTTAGATCACTTCTAAAGTTTTCCTGCTGGACACAAGATGTCACTGATAAGTCCATTCTCAGTGTGTGTGTATTGGTGGCTTCATGTTTTTATATCACACTTGTATAAGTTGCATACTGGACCAGGATGGACAATTTGTGATGTCACAAATCATCTTCATAGGCTTAAAATCAGATTTTCAGTGAGCTGAGCACAGAGAAACTTTCCACTCTCAGCAGATGAATGTGAAACCATCCTTCTAGTGTCAAACTCTGCACAGACAGCATTCAAACATCCAAGTGTAAGAACAAGAAGACACACTTTTTGAGTGAAAGGGGACTTTAACCATTGAGTGCTGTGGTCCCTCCTGTGCTCTGGCATTAGTATTTGGACAAACATTCAAATAAAACACTTTCTGACTCAACTTTGACTTACTTCAAAGGTGCTTTAAGCCAGTGAATGGTCCTGCCGGACACTGACATCGGTGTTCTGTACTGAATATGTGCAGCAGCGGGGCAAAGCCCAGCTATTGGCTACAGCTGATCCTATACAACACACTACACTTACTCTAATCCAAACCATGTTTACAAGAGCGGCAGCTGCCCTCTCTATCCTTGCCACTGACGCCTACCTTGGTGGCATGCCTGCTATTGTGTTTACATTGTAAACAATGGATATAGGGGCGGCAACTGCTTGCTGTTTGTAAGTACCTTAACGGTACCACAGTTTAGCATGTAAGTCAGTCTTTCTTGGCAATGACTGATTGTGCGAGGGAGGGTAACCGACATTTGACCGCCCTGTCTGACTCTGGCTCAGGAAGTAAAATAATAGGATCATTCTTTAAGAATTTGCAGAAGAACCTAAAAGGGAGCAAACCAGTGGGTCAGTTGGGACCCAGAAACCATTGGTCAGTGCATGAGATTAAGAGCGTGTCTAGCAAAATGTGCTGCTTCTCTGTAATGAGAAAGAAAGCGGGAGGGGCAAACAGATTGCAGCACAGCCGGACACAGGCCACAGTAAATGCTAAAATCCTGCCAATAAAACACACAAACACAGCACACATATACACATACACTCACAGACACGTGAGACTGAAAGGAGGTAAAGAATCAGACAGCGATCAGGCCCTTTTGTTCTCATCTCATCCCCTCACTTCTTCCTTTTCTATCTAGCTCTCCATCCATCTATTTCTCAATCTCTACCTCTCCTATCACTCCCTGATGATCACAGTTTGATTCTCTGGCTTTAATCCCAGATTAGAAGACAAATATTCATGTCATGATGCTGTAATGCCTGACTCAAATGATGATGATATTGATGACAATGATGAAAACTCACTTTTATGGTTTCTTGCTGAAGATGATACATGAATACTGTAGATTTCTCCAACAATATTCACAAGATCTATTGTCTTTTGCCCTGTTTTATTACTGCAGTGGTGTTATTAATGCTTGCATTTTTCAAAATTAAGACAGCATTTCATGTTCCACAAGGTCGTAGTTGAAACGTTGTAAAACTTTCACAGAGAACATTAAAAGGTGAAAAGGAGGAGGCAGGAGGGGTAATTAATGGAATGCAATGTTCTCATCTAAAACAAAACAAAAAAAGTCACCAACTGTTGCACATATGTTGCATCCCTTAAGATTAAATAGCATACACTGATCTATACACTGTACAGAATGTATTAAAAGACTGTGAGCTGGTCTGTCTCTTTTGATGGGGCTTCCTATATTACTGTATAATGGACACTAAGAATGCTACATCCCAACGACAACAAAATATATTTCCTACAGCTACACCCAGTCAGCGTTGACTTTTGATTTCACATGGGAAAGGGGAAGCGGTAAAAGTCTTGTGGTTGTTTGACGCAACCAACCACCCCGACCTGTTCCATATGTGGCTCTTTAGCCCATGTCACCTGACTATTTTTTTCTCTATACCATTCATGTGTAACAACTCGCCATATTTGCACA